CAAATCGTCTGCATTCCTTAGGGAAATCGGTGATTTAGAGAGGGAATCTTCCGTTCCACAAATAAGCAATAATCTAAGAGTGAGGAAAGCCTACCTGGATGCATTAGCTGTGGTCATCTTTCTTCTGCTCTCACACCTCCCTTCCCTGAGCACAGTCGGAGAGAATCCAGCCAAAAGCTGACTCCAGGCTTATCTAATGAAGCTGATATTGTAGACTCAGCACAGCCTGGATCCAGGCCAGTACATTAAGATGGAAACACCAGAGAGGCCCTGAGTGAAGAGATTCCTAATGGATAAGGAGCAAGAATCTTCTTCATCTGTTTTCATCTGCTTTGACCTCGCTGCGTTATCTGAAACCATGGGCCGTGAGATAACGGCTGCTTCACCTTACAAAATTCTTCTTTCCCCCAAACTGGCACGAGGGGCTGGGGGAACGTGTTAAAATGGCCCAAATTGTTTCAGGGACACATATTAAACACTGAAGGAAAATATCACTTTTTCCCATTGAATTTCTGCTTTGTTTAGTCCAGCAGCTCTCAAGCACGGGGCAAACTGGTGAGATGAGCTGGAATTAAAATACCAGCAAGATGAAAGAAAAAAGGCAGGTTTACCTTTGGTTAACAGCAGATAAATGAAACTGGTCAGAGTTTGGGTGAGATCACTGTATTGTGAAGACAAACTGGCAGACACTGCCTGAGGCAGGGCAGAGAAAAGACAAGTATTTTGGAGCAATGTCCTTGTGCCACATGTGCGGTCACAACAACCAGGTCATTCTGTGCAGTTCCAGGCGAGTGCCTGAATTTCTCATTGTGTCTCACAGTAGCATCCATATCCATTTAGCAATGTTTTCCATTATTATAATGTATCTACACTTCTGTGTGCTTTCCATCACCTCCTGGCTGCACTGCCATCCCTGGGCACAAAGCCCACGGAGCCCAGGAAACTCCAGAGCATCCGGAACGCTCCAGCAGGGCTCTCCTGCAGCTCACACTGCCATGAGGGAGGGCAGCTCATGGAACCTGTTTTCTGCTCTCTGCTCTGGGTTCCTGTACACTTTGTAGTTGTCCTGGTCTTTGTTTGGAAGATATTTTGCCTGCCTGGCACAGCAGAGTGGGAGGCAGATGGAAGTTGCTGGGTCGGTGACTCTGAACTCCCCCAGGTCCCCAGGGCCACTGCAGATGTCACCACAGCCACTGCAAGCACAAGTTGTGTTGCTTGTGACTCTGTCTTTTGTGGGATAAACACGCAAGTTATATTTTTGGACAAGGTAGCAAAACTTTCCCAAGCTAAATCACTCCATACTTATTCCCCTGGAATGAAGCTCTTCCCTAAATGCACTTTGACCTCCAGGAAGGAAGCTGGGAATGTGACTGTGAGGGACCAGAGGTCAGTGTGGTGATGAGCAGGGTATCACAGGGTATAACCCCTGCAACATCCCAGTTTGGGTCCACACAGAGGAATGCAGCCCCAAGGAAGGCAGAGCAGCTCTGGTTTTGCCTGGGATAAACTCCCTGTGGTGCCCTCAGCTGAAGGAACTCTGCAGTGGAAGTGTTCTCTCAGTCTGCTGCACTGAGTAGTGTTCTCCTCCACAGCATTATCCTGTCACACCTCTGTGGAGAGGAGACCAGGGAAACCATTTCAGATATCGAAATTTGAGTTCTGGACAACAATTAAAAAATCAGTGCTGGTGTTAGAGAAACCTGTGTGGCCACTTCAGGTGGGAAAAGAGTTTAATCTTCAGGTCTGTTTCCCTGGGGATGGACCTTATATGTTCAAAAAAACCCCGTGTGTAATTCTAAAGTAAGTGATAAGCATCAAAGGAGTTGTTGCAGAACCCTTTTGTTGCCTTTATTGCATGATAAGGAGCAGTGGCTGTGTAACCTTGAATATGGGCAAATAACTCATGCTGAACACATTGCCACAGAGATGGAATTTTGGCAGGGCTTTGATCTGGGTCGTTTTATTGCGGGGCTGAATCAAACGACAAGCTGATGTTAAACTCCCGCCAGGAATGCTAATGATGCCCTGATCAATGAGGGGCTGGATCGCTCCGGAGGAGGGGCCCGGGAAAACGCAGACACGAGATGTCTGGAATTCCAAAGGTTGGAGAGCTGGGGCTGCTGCACTGGCAGGAATTATGTTCCTTGCGTCGCTCCAAGTTTGCTTTACTCCAGGGGCCTTTGGCTGAGTGCTGGACAGGACGGTGTCAGAAAGTATATACTTAACTTTATTTTTCTTGACCTTTATGTGCAAGTAATTTTTATAGTTCCATTAACTAGTAAGATCATTTGCAAACCCCTGAGCAAAGTGTATTATGAAGAATGCCTTGGGGACCACTGTGTCCTATTATGTTGAATGTTAATAGAATGAAAAATTAATTTAAACTCTAAAGACTAGAGCAAGGCAAGACTTCCCTTTTATAGGAGAAATTCAAAATTTTATTTGCCATGATAAAACTTTAGAGTTGTACCCTAATATGACCTTTATAGGCCTGATTTGAATCAGGCAGTGCAGGAGTCTGATTATTTGCCTCCCTAAATACAATTATTTATGTCAAAGTTTCTCCTTTTAAAAAAGGGGGGGTTCTCTGACCCTCACAGGGGATTAGTCACTGGTGAGCTCACAGCTACTTGTTTAGCCAGTTAATCAACCAGAGATCAGAGAACCCACAGTTCTAATGAGTGTCTTTACCTTATTTAACTCTTTAATTGCTCATTAAACATTGTCATCTTCAGCTATGCAGGACTTCAAAACACCTAAAAACAAAGCTGCAGCTCCTTATAATATATTTTTATTATTTTCCATGTCACTGAATGCTCTAGAATGAGGAGTTCCATCTAAGAGTCTTCCTTCTAAGTCTCACTGCACTTTTCCCATGGGACTGGAGCACTTCTGTCCATAGACGAGTGATCAAGTAAACTTTATTAGCCTAATTATTTATTATTCTTCCATATTTATGTTAACATAGTTAAGGTGTGATATGTCCCTGCGGAAATCAATTAAATTTAGGCCAGTAATGAGGAGTTTTGTTATTTGGGAAGACCAAAAAACTAGTCCACCGTCAACCTTCTTGCTGACAAATTTTGCCTTGAGCTCAGAACCAGCCTCGTTAAAAGGATAAAAATGTTACACATTTTACATGTAAGAATGATTTATTATTGTAAATAATGCCCAGCCATTTTCCAATGATTGCAGGGAGGTGTGTATATTTTATTGGAAAATCCTGTTTTTCCAATATCCTGTCTTGAATTCCATGTTACAACTGTAGACTGGGATGCCTCCCTGTCTTCAGAAAGCCTGTCTGGAGTAAAATAAATGCACAAAAGATTAGGACAATTAGTGACTGGAGAATTAGCCATGAATATTTCATGCCCACTGCAATACTGTCTAAACACAAGATATGAAATGAGAATAAATTGCATTTTTGACATGCAGCAAACGTGGAAAGGAAGTGACTAATTTAGAAGGATCTTGCAGTGGGTTTAACGAGACAACATTCCAATCACTGCTCACGTGGGATCTGGTGGATAAAGAGCAGGAGGATTTGTCCCAGGGGATTCTTCAAAGTTCACCTGTGGTTTGAAGTTGGATTTCAGTATTTTGTGAGCAGGTTTGATCTGCAATGACCCAAACACAGACTAGGCAGCAAAATGTTTCCCTGAGCTTTGATTGCAGCCTGAGGGCAGGGCCAAGGTGGGATCCAGGGTGGGAGTCCAGGTGGAACGTGGGAGGGAGCAGGAATCATTCCAAGGGATGAGACATCAGTGCGGAGCTTTCAGCCCAGGAGGTCCCTGGGAACTCAAAGAGTGTTTCACCTGCAGGCCCAGGGCAGCTTCCAGGAGGTTTTGTGGCTGATTTCAGATGGTTTGGGTGGTTCTGCCTCATGGCCAGCACAGCAACTCAGAGCTGCTCCCCAGACCAGCTTTGCTGGCCTTGCTCTAGACAGCAATGAGTGAATCTTTGTCTGGGGATGAGTCTTTTGTAGTCCAGCTCTTGGTTAAGTAAACACAATGCCCACGTTTCCCATCTGCTGTAAAAACACAGGATACACAAACGTAGGTTATATAGGACATAAATCATATATATATGAGATCTCTATTAAATATATGTATATATATCTTATTATGGTGACCTCATTGCAGCTGCATCATATTCATTAATAACTCCTGCATGTTAGTCTAGGTGGCAATGATGTGTTCCAGCTCAACCATCGAGCTTCAGTCTCTGGCTCCCTGAGTTTTTGGAAATGTCCTGAGTGGTAAAATGGAAACAAGGTGCAGAGCAGACAAGTCCAGCCTTTAAAGCAGTTACTCAGTGCTGTCCAAGATTTTAGGATGTGCTGGGCACGAAGGCACACACTGGGAACTGTCAGACACTGAAACAGCAAAGGAGAAGGGAATTATTTAAACTATGAGCTGCTCCTCAGGCAGTTTGTCTTAGTTTGAGCCTTGAGGATCCTGATCTCAATAATCCACCAGTGAACAAGTGAGATGAGAACACTGTGGTCATGGAAAAGTGGATGACCTTGAAAAGACAGGACTGCACTTACAGCTACTGCATCATGTAGTAAAATTATTTACTTTCCTCAAGCTATTTTTTACTATTTGGGGTCTTAATACATTTTCCAGACTGAGCTTCATTTTATCTTAGGGACAGTCAGAACCTGAGTGTGATGTAAGAAGCTGCTGTTCTGTAATATAATAAAAAGTGTCAGTTTGGGAAAAACTTTATTATGGAGCAAAACTGCTAAGCGAAGGAATTTCTGGTGTTGGAGTTTTTCCTACAAAGGGCTGAAGTGACAAATGAATTTATTGCTGTCAAGAGACCTATATTTTATTTTGGTCACTTAGCAATAATTAAATCTTGGGAGTAATTATTCTTTTGTGCGTGTGTTTGCTTTGTTTCATATTTTTAAACCAAACATTGCTCTCTAAGGCACAGTTTAGGGTATGTTTAGCATCCACTTAAGGTGTTTACAATGCTGTTGTTTCCTTTAACAGCTCTGTGCACTGAGGAGTGTGTGCATGGGAGGTGTGTCTCTCCTGACACGTGTCACTGTGAACCAGGATGGGGAGGCACTGATTGCTCCAGTGGTGAGTAAACATTGCCAAAATGTGATAAAGATACTTGTTGCTGTGAAAAAACAGGCCTTATAAAGCAGTGGTCTTGGAACTTGGATGCATTAAGTGGAAAAATGAATTTTGTCTGTTATTTTGTAATAATTAATATTGTTGGGGGGGTTGGAATGAGATGATCTTTAAGGTCCCTTCTGGGATTCCATGAATATGTGATAATGTCCTTTCCTAGGATAATGACATTGGCCTTTTGTGCTTGCTTTTTACAAAGAAATGTGAAATGCAGTGGAAGATGCTCTTAATGCTTTTGGTTGTTGGGAAACCAGTACAGATAATAGAGCTGTATTATGAATTTTTTTCTCTCTTAAATCTTTAATACAACACATTCTTCATGAAATACTCTGTGGAGTGTTGGAGCCCTTTGGAAAGCCCTCTCTCCTCATAGAATCCTTGTCCTGGTAAGCCAGTGGGAGTTTTGCCATTGACTTTCCAGGCAGCCCTGGATTGCCTTGCCATCCATACCTCAGATCCATACTGCAGGAGTTAGGGAAGCACCTTTTGCAAGGGAATTAATCCACACTTTTCAATTCTTCCAGCTGGTGAAGCTGTGTTTGTTAAACTCTCTTAATTGGCAGCAGTGAGTTCAGGTCTCTGTGGTTGGTTCCTGTGGAATGGAACAGGCAGCACAAACATCTGAGCTCTGATGTAACACAGGCCCGATACCTTATTGACATAAAAGAAATAAGCTTGTTAAATGAAGTCAATTTGTGCAGCAGGCAAGTAAATAAAGGTACACGGAGAGAGATGCTGTGAAATGAAGCTGAATGGACGTTTCATTTTGTGTTTACTTCCTCCCTTTCTCCCAAATTGATTGAGATCTTGAGAAAAAAACATAATTAGCAGGCAAAGAGGTAACAGAAAAGAGATCTATAGAGGGAGGTGTTAGAAGGGAATGGGAGTTAAATGTGACAGAGGAGGAACCTCTGCAGAGGCTGAAGGCTGGGGCAGCTCTGGTCAGGTTTTGTCTGCAGCTCTGGCATGTCCCTCAGGCACAGCAGGAAAGGCAGCAGGGAGGGAGTGGGGAGGGAGGATTGTTGCCATCCCTGGAAGTGTCCAAGGCCAGGTTGGACAGGACTTGGAGCAACCTGGGCTAGTGGAAGGTGTCCCTGCCCAGCGCAGGGGGGTGGCATTGGGTGGACTTTAAGGTCCCTTCCAACCCAAACCATTCTGGGATTCTGGGATTCTAAGGATGGAACAAGGGCTGTGCTTTGGGGTTTGAAGCAACCTTTTGGGATTACCTGGCATGTAGACAAGGGAAAAATTGGGCAGCATAACTTACTAAATATTCATCTCTAACAATACATTAAAAAAAGAAAAATAGTACCTTAAATGGTGAGATGATTGTAAAGATTCTCAGGAACTCATTTTGTCTTTTGATTAGTCTCAGGATTGGATATGTTTAATCTACCAGCCAGTATTTGTACAGTGCACGTGCACTTACAGAAGTTAAAAATAATGGTAATAATAAATACTGTGGCAATATGGACACACACATACAGATGTATACAGTTATACACACAGAGTCACAAACTCTCCATTCTGGCTGAAGATGAAAGGAAAGGATGAGATGTCAAGTGATCTCAGACTGGTCCCGTGGGCTAAAACTACCCAGTGACTCTTATTAAATTGCCCTAATCTTGCAAGTGGAGATAAAAGAAAAAGAAGGTTTTTGCTATATTGAATATTTAGCTTTTTAAAGTAATTAGGAATATTACAGCAGTGACAATGATGGAGATAGAAACATTATTCATAACTTTTATTTCCGCGCTGGGCACCGATCCAGGGCATTTCATTTATGAGGTTTCAGCGGTGGAAAGGGAAGCGTTGGCCAATTCCTAAATTAAATATGCCCTGCTAACTTCTATAAATGATAGCCCAGGATTAGCTTCAAAATTTAAGCTTTCATTTTATTAATATAATTAGTGTGTTTGCTGGCCTGTAGTGCCCATTGTCTCTCACTCCATTTGTTATACACTGGGCAACACGTGTTCCTGGCCCAGGGGCTGATCCCACCAGCACTTCCCAGTTTAATGCTCGGGGGAGCGAATGGCCTCATGGAAGTCAACTTTTAGTGCACACTAGAACTTTGGGTGACTGGCCTTTTTATTGTTAGGGGACTTTGTTCAAATCAAAAGGTTTCAATCAGGGGATCTCAGCGGAATGCAGTGCATTGTTACTCCGGTATTTCCAAGGAAGAAGGGAGAAGTGGGAGCTTTGCCCATCTGAGGTTAACCAGGTTTTTCAGACCCATGATCCGTGTTTTGAGTCATATCTTACTGTTACCCAGTCAGAATGTGGAAAACATTTTTCACTTCTGCTAGAATAATCTATCACCTACTTGGAATAATCTATGCCTACTTTCTTACTGTTACTGCTTCAATTTTGTGCAGCTACTCTGAAGGTCACGTGTTTGCGGTGCCAAGTGTGGTTTGGGATGTTCCTGCAGGGCTGTGCTCGGGATAAACCAGAGCTGTTGGCAGGATGGTGCCACCCCAAACCCGTGGGGCTCTGAAACTTCCCTGTGTGGCCCTCAGTCCTGGGGATTTTGTGCAGTCACAGGCATATTGCTTTTCATGTTGGCTCTTTGAAGCGATTTCACTGGGGAAGGGATCGCCAGCCAAAACACTCCCTTTAAATTTAGAAAATCTCCCAGGAGCTGGAATGGTTTCCTGGATGATCTCTCCTGAAAGCAACGCTGAGAAGTGGAGCCTCCCTGACACTGGGGGTCGTGTGTTGTCATTTATTGGAGAAGATCTAAGGCCACTCTCTTGCTGAGATGCTATTTCAACAAGACCATTATAACTTTCTAAAAGTTATTTATAACTCACTGGATTTGATGGGTGAAATTCAACCATAAGCAGAGCTCCAGCACAAGGTCCAAGTGTCACTTCAGAACCAGAAGTATGTTTCTATTATTTTGGTGTGCCTGTGACAGGAGAGGGCCTGGATCCTGACCCTGAGCCCTGATTTCCCACGGAGGGGGCAAGGCTTTGGTGTTAATGCGGTTTCCCAGCGTTATCATTCTCCCCTGGCTAAAATATTCTCAGTTAAATGTTTGGAATAGCTACAGCTACAGCCTGTAGCCATGCAAACAATTTAATCATCTTGCTCAGCCTTGGTGTCGTGCTTTCCTAGAGCTCAGCCTGTAAGACAAGTCACCAAACTCGCTTTTCAGTGCAGCTTTCCAGTGGCTGCTCACGGTACATGTTAGAGTTCATCTGTTGTCAAGGTTAAAATAACTTCAGATGAATTGCTAAACAATTACAAAAACCCCAGTGCCATATTCAGCTCTGCATGTCTCTGTACCTGTGTTTTACTCCATGCTGTTGTACATCTGTCCATGCCCACAGGCCTAGCCTTCATTTCATGCTATAAAGCTGCAATATATTAAGGCTTGATTACCATAACAATAAAAAGAGAAGTAATGAGGTATTAACTAAAGAAGCTCTTGAATGAAATGTTTTCAGCGTTTTAATGATGCCAAAAACTGAAAGGAAAAGTCTTTAAAAAAAAACAACCATACCTTTCCCTTGCCTTTTAACTTGTTTTGTTAAAACCATGCCTGTTTTGTCCATGCAGTCTGCACTGTTGTTTTGTTTAAATACAAAGCAAAATTGCAAATGCTCTGTGTGAACTTACCTGCTCACCTGTCCAATTATTTCAAAGCAATTAACTTCAAACAGTTGAAGTTCTGGTAGGAATATAATTGCCTGTTGGTGGTTACCTGGCCTCTTCTGGGCCTTGCTAACAACCATCTGTATTTGCAGGCCTTTAGGCCCCAATCCAGCAAGGATTTTCTGCTTATCCTTAACTTAATAAATGATTAGAACTTTTCATCTGCTCTAGATTAAGTGTTTAGGACATTGTTGAGTTAATTTTGAAGAAACAGCTAAAAAAGACCTCAATGAAATCTAAATAAGCCTCTCACAGAATTCATCAGACCTGTGAGGAATAAAGTGGTCTTTCTTTCAGGATGTTAATCAGGCAATATATTTGAAGGATATTTTGACTCTCATGAGCGTTTTTCATTGTGAGGAAGATCACAGAAATCTTTCTGCTTAACAGAAGGTTCACAGAACAAGGGGCAACAGGTAGGAAAAAGAAAGTTCAGAGCAAGAGCCCTGAACTAAAAGGAAGAAGCCTCCAAAAACTGTGTGTGCCAGATTGAGAAATGTCAAAATGAACAAACACAGAGGTTGTAATGCAAAAATGAAGTGGTTTTCGAAGTGTTTGCTTTGCTAATAGTTTTGGGGAGAAAATATAGTACTTGCCCAAAGTGTAATTAAAGAGCTGCTGTCACAATAATGCCAAGCCATCGTTCTTGTTGCTGTGTCACCCAGGGCAGAGGGATGGTGGTGTTGCTGTCTGGAATAGCCTGGATTTATATGGATAACATAGTTTTTCTCTTAAAGGATGTTTTGTACAAACGGGAGCAAGAAGCTATTTCATCTTTATCTCTTTGTCAAAACTAGCCAAGGTCATCCCAACAGGCAGGTGTAACATCCCAGCAGGATCACTGGTGAGGGCCCAGCCCTGGAGCAGCTGGATGCTGCAGCCCTGGAGCAGCTGGATGCTGCAGCCCTGAGCCTGGTGATGAATGAGAGCGGCAGGGCCGGGGCTCAGACTGAAGGGGCTGTTTGACAGGCTGTGCAAAGCAACAGCACAGCTCCCAGGAGGAAATGGAGTGGTTTGAAGGGAGGCTGGGGTGGTTTCCAGGCTTGATTTTTGGCATCCATGTTCTCAAAATGCTTTGAACTATTTTTGGAGAAATGAAGTTCAAAGGAAAGAGTCCTGAGTTTTGAGTACAGGCTCAAACAAAATTCAGCCTAATGTGAGAGACTGATCTGCCAGACTCATTACTTGATTTTTCATCCTCAGGTTTTTAGGATAGGATTGGCTGGGAAAGCACCAGTGTCCACCAAAGAGGGGCAAAGGTACAAGACCTCAGCTGTTCTAAA